TGAAGTAATATCAGAAGTTTCATCTGAAAAAAAAAGAAAAACTTCCACCATTTCTAAGTGACTGGAGTAAAGGATTTTTGACAAAATCAAAGATGATATTTATATACTTAGCAATATATTCCGGAGACATGTATATTGCATTTGCTGGGCTAGACAAAACGTGGGTCTTAACTTCTTTACAACCACATGCAACAATAAGTTCAATAATATCTTAAAAATTATGAATATGTGCCCAGTTTTTCATGATTATTAAATGCATGACTTGAAAGAAGGTTTTAATAACAAAGCTTAGTTACTTGTTTTTAATGTTTCTTTTGCAAGGGTATTTTCATGCAGCATTTCCAGATATTCGAGTCTTGCTTAGATATTCCATCAAAAGCTTGTTTATTTTTTAAAGCTATAGTATGCCTATGCATATTTAAGTGATCGTTAGCATGCTCCTAGGGGTGATCTGCAAATTTGCCAGGGTTTTCAATAAATGCACAATTACTTTTTTTTCCAGAGGCAAACGATATGCAAACTTTACAAAACCAACCTTGTTTTGATGAGGAATAAAATAAATTGGGAAATAGCACCTCATACTTTTCTGTTGTTTTAAGTCGTAGGTCTTCTACATTTTTGATTGGTATATGTGCTGGTATGACTTTTTTTTTCTTTTTCTTTTTCCAAGTAATTTCAAAATGACATTTACCTCCACGAAATTCATTTTTTGAATAATTACTATGCTAAAATCTTTGTTTCTTTTCTAACTAAAGATAAACAACATTTGTTGGTTTAAAATTTTTTTAATAAGTAATAAGCGAAATGAAAAAACTAAAGAACAACGATGTCAGTTAAAAATTAAAGTTTTTATTTTATTTTTGAATGAATGACTTGCATCGTTTTTTTTTCTTGTAAAGAAAATAATTGTTCTCCATTGACTAAATTATTTTCTTTGTTTCGTGTACTTTTTTATTTTCTTTGTTTCGTAGTATTTCTACGAGTCTTGCATAACTCTTTAAATCTAAGCCTACTAATGACCTTTTAAAAATTAAAAAAAACTGGAAATTCCACGTTATACGTGGTGCCATCAGGCTTGTTAACACCCTGATATATATATATATATATATATATATATATATATATATATATATATATATATATATATATATATATATATATATATATATATATATATATATATATATATATACACATGTATATATAAAAACCGTATATATACATATATATATATTGATATATATATATATATATATATATATATATATATATATATATATATATATATATATATATATATATATATATCCTTATAGTGTAATCGAAAGAGACTTTTACAGTAAAAAAAGTCTCTTTCGACTACAATTTTTATTACCTCGTCTCTTAAGCTGTGTTTGATTGTCATCTAAATGTCAAAGCAATTAATTTAATGCTTAAATTAATATATATATATATATATATATATATATATATATATATATATATATATATATATATATATATATATATACACAGGCGTTAAAGTAGAATAGGAAATCAAGTGGAATAGTGTTAAAAAGTTCAAATTGTATGTTTAAAAGGATGCAAAGTACCCCTTTTGGGTACAGAATCGAGCCTTCAAATTTTTGCAGTAGGTGCATTTTTGTTAGGTGCATTTTTGATGTATTTTGAGGTCTCGAGTGATGACCAAAGTTTTTATTTCTGTTCACAATTATTTGAGTATGTCAAATGCTTAAATTAAATGGTTATATAAGGTAAAAAACTTTTACAAAAGGTAATTTCTGGTGTTCAAACAGAAAAGAAATAATATAAACAAGAAATAGTTATGTTTATAAAATTATTTTCATTTTTTATTGGAAAATGGAAATTTACAGTTTATTGATGATATTAATTTAGTTAAGAATAGTAAAAAAAAAAAATATTATCAACTTGTTGCTCTCACATTTGGGGTAGAGGCGTCTCAAATTTTAGGGCTTTTTTTGTTCCCATGCTCTAATCATCACAACTTTTTGCAAAACATCCTTATTTGACATAAGTATAAATGCATAAATGTTTGGAGTTTTTTCATGTCTGTATCTCAAACGAAATCTTAGCTATGTCAAAAAAAAAAAAAAAAAAATGCACATTTTCTTAAATAAAATCTTAACAAATTGTTTCATTGTATTACAAGTTCTTTGAGATCATGCATAAATTACGCCAATTTAAATTAAATTGTAAGCAAAAAATAAAGTTTTCCTTTGCAGAATCATAAATTTTACCAAAAATACCTATTTAACTTCAGTAAAAACCAGCGGCAAGAAGTAAAAATGATGACTTTAAAGAAATAAAATGAATTTTTTCCTTCTCTCCATTTTAAAAAAAATTTTAATTTAAATTTATTTTGTTTTATTTAAATTAAATTTATTATTAAATATAATAAATTTAATTTTATTTTATTAAATTTAATTTAAATTTTTTTTTTACTCCTAAAATTTCCAAACTACGTAAAAAAATGTTCATTTTATATTTAACTATTTGATTATTTATATATAGTTTCAAATCAATAATTTTTTTTTTCATACTGTTACGAAAGTGCTAATATACGAAAGTGTTTAATGCTCCTATATTTGTATATAAATGCATATTTGTATATAAATGCATTGCTGGTTAAAAAAGTTGATAGTTTTAATTTTTTATTTTAACCATTAAGAAATTTAATCATAAATAATTTCCCCCTCATTATAAAAACAAAACAACTAAATTGTGAGAAAGCAAGCATAAGACTATGTTGTTAATTCAGTTATTATTATAAAATAATAATAATTTAATTAACCATTGCTATAGTATTAAATATTTGGTTTTATAACATTTTGATATATATATATATATATATATATATATATATATATATATATATATATATATATATATATATATATATATATATATATATATATCACTATTTTATTCTACATTTAACAATTTTTTTTCAGACAAACAATCTTCTCTTAAAACCAAAGGTTTAAAACATCGACATGTCGGTCCATGTTTACAGTCATTGATGGTCTTCTATGTAGTTTTCTCAACTTTAGCATTTTTATTATTCTTATGATTCTTATTAAAGCAATTCAATCAAAATACTTGTAGGTTTTTTAAATATCTAGTAGAGCAAAAATAAACATAAAAAAGAGTTGAGTAAAACACAGCATTTTTAGAAAAAGTTAACGTCATTCGAATAATTATGAACAGTAGTGTGTGTGTGTGTGTGTGTGTGTGTGTGTGTATATATATATATATATATATATATATATATATATATATATATATATATATATATATATATATATATATATATATATATATATATATATATATAGCTTGACTATTTAATATTTTATGCACAATATGTAATACGTCATGTGATTCATATTACTATTTATAATAAGTTACTGCAAAACAATATTTCTAAACAATGTCAATGATTGGTTAACAAAAATTTACTTTATTTATATACATGTCATATAATTTGTTTTAATATTTTTAATTAAACATTTTAAAAATTGATCTAAATAAAATCAAGAAAAGATTTAAAATGGTTTTTTCAATTAATCTAGTCTTCATTGATATTATTTTTATTTATAATATCTTTTTACTTATTTATACTTTTTATTAATTATACTATTTATTTATATATTTTAAAAGCTTTTACTTGCATGTTTGTTAGCATTATTTGTGTTGTACTAAAATTATCTGTTGATTTTAGTTAAACTAGATCAATGTATTTACTAATGTATAACTAATCAACGAGTATAACTAATCAACGAGTATAACTAATCAACAAGTATAACTAATCAACGAGTATAACTAATCAACTAGTATAACTAATTAACTACATAATAAATGATCAATAAAATATAAGGTTAAAATTTTGTGCATATTTTTTAAATTAAAATTTAAAAAATATGCACAAAATATTGCATCTATATCACTCTAAAGAAAAGTTTCTTTTTCAGTAAAGAAAATGATTTTATAAATTAATCATTTAAAAAAGAGTTTCATGTTTTTTGTAATTCAAATAAATTATGAAAAATGATTAGTATAATATAATTATTTATTTTGTTTCCCATCATTTTTACTCAAAATGGTTTCAAAAAACACAGAGAGCGGTCTAAATAAATATTTATCAACTGATAAAAATACAAAACTAAATAAATGTAATATTACAAAATAGATAAAAAGTAAAGTGATTCCATGCAAATAAAAAAATAAAAAGTTTACAATATGAAATAGCATTTGAAAACATCACATCTTTCAGAATATAAATATTTAAATCTTAAACAAGCCTGAAAGTTTAAAGAAAAGTTAAAAGAAAAGAAAAATTATTTTTAAAAATTTATTATTCTTAAAGTCAAAAGAAAAGCTACTAGATTATTTATTTATTTATAAATTATTTTCATCAAATTCAAAAGATTTTAATATTAAAAATCTAAATCATCTACTTAGTCACTCGTAGTAAAACAATTAAGTTTGATAAAACATTCAAGATGGCAATTACTAAAATGGTAGTGAATAATAGAGTTTTGGTGAAAACATTTGAGGGGGAAGGATTTCAGTTAGTTAACTGGTAAAAGTATTATTATTAGATAAAAGTCTTTGATTCAGTACTGTATAAAATTCGATGCATTTTAGATGCAACTCAACACCAAAAGGACTATTTAGGAAAAAATATTCAATATTATTATGCAGGAAAAGTTCAAGTTAAATCAGAATTGAATATAAAATCAGACAACTTTTGCACAAGAGCTGTAAAGAAAAAAAAAACCTGCTATAACAAAAAAGTACTTTTCTAAAATCAGTTGATTAAGATAGAGATGGTAGATCAACTACCAATTTACAAAGATATCAACAAAAAAAATTGTTTTGTAGCTTTCTTTGCCCTATTCAGGTCTGGTAACAACATTGTTTCTAAAACTAATCATTTTTATATATTTATATACTTAAAAAAAAATTTTTTTTTATAGATTGTAAGAAAAATTGTTATTCTTGGTCTGGAAAATTCTGGAAAGTCTACACTCGTAGCTCAGCTTTCAAAAAAAGGAAATCATTATATGGAGTATAAACCAACTAAAGGATTTAATGTTAAATGCATTTCTTTTGATAACTGTGACCTCAGTATATGGGAAAGTATAGTGACTTTTTAATTTTTTATGTGTTAAAAGTTACATATAATTTATGTTTATTTATTTACTATAAATATTTACAGAAGATCTGCTCATCAATGTATGATACTGTTTTCCATAAACTATAAAACAACAAACAAAAAAAGATAAAAGTAGAAGACTAAAAATAATTGGTTAAAAATTCATCATTGATTTATAAAAAACTTAAAATTATTTTTGAATTTTGTTCTTTAATACTGAATTTTTTTTATACGATTTAGGAGTTTGTTAAATAGTAAGCCAACCATAAAGTTGAAGCCACCCATAAAATAATAAGCTACCCATAAAATTGATGCCACTACATACAACACTTAACATTACTTAATTTGACATTTAAATATAATTGGTAAGTTAACATTCAAGTTTTTTGAATGCTTTCTTGTGGTCCGAAATTTTTATAGTTTGAGAATATTTTATCATTCATGATTTTAACTAAAACATGTTCATAAATTTTTAACACATTAGTTGTTTAGTTGCATGGTATTTTAATATTGTGGTTTCAAATTTATTTTAATTTTAAGAAAATGTTATATGTTGCATTGGTGTTAAATTAGTGTTATGTGGCATT